ATATAAGTCTTACCCCGAAAATAACCCCGAGAGGGATGGACGTGGAAAAGACAGTGGGTGGGGAGCCAATGGTGTCTGGCCGCAGCCTGCTGGCCTCTTGGCAAAGCACAAATACCATTAATTCCAAACACGGAGGCAGAAGCAGGGGGGAGAAGGCAGGCAATTCAGACATTCTGCATAGTTGTCTGACTCACAGGAGATTCAGGGAGGCTTGCACGGTGGCAGTAGCAGCAGGCACATGCATGGGAGATCGGGGAGGCAGGCAATGCCAACGCCCGATGCAGGTGTCTATTCGATGTGGCTGCATACAAGCCAAGAGATGGTGGGACAGAATGGGTGGCATGTTGAGATCGCCTTCACCTCTGCCTGGCTCTGCTACACACTTTTCGCCCAGAGGGAGACAAAGCTTTTTCTGCTTGCAAAGGGGATGCTAGCATCACCTCCAGATGGATTCACAATTGGCTGACAAATCATACTCAACAAGTAGTCCTTAATGAGTCTAAGTCTACATGGAGGAAAGTAAGCAGTGGGGTGCCACAAGATTCTGTCTTAGGCCCAGTACTCTTCAATATCTTCATAAACAACATAGATGAGGGAATAGAAGGAGAACTTACCAAATTTGCAGATGATACTAAGCTGGCAGGAATAGCTAATACCCAAGAAGATAAAGCGCAAGATCCAGATAAATCTTGAAAGACTCGAACACTCTGCCCTATCTAACAAAATGAAATTCAATGTCGAGAAAAGTAAAGTCCTACACTTAGGCAAGAAAAACCAAACGTACACCTATAGATTGGGTGAAACCAGGCTTAAGAGCAGTAACTGTAAGAGGGATCTTGGAGTCTTAGTGGACAACCAGTTTCCAATGGATGGAAACTGAACAAGGAGAGATTTAACCTGGGAATAACGAGAAATTTTCTGACAGTAAGAACAATCAAGCAATAGAACAACTTCCCTTCAGAAGTTGTGGGACCTTCATCACTTGAGAATTTCAAGAAGAGATTGGGCTGCCATTTGTCAGAAATGGTGTAGGGTCTCCTGCTTAAGTGGGGGGTTGGATTAGATAACCTACAAGGTCCCTTCCAACTCTGTTAATCTGTTAATCTGCCGTTGTCAGCCCTGGTATAACTCTCTGAGGTTGGATCAGATTTCTCTCTCCCCCCCCCCCCCCCCCCCCCCTCCCCCCCCCTCTCTCTCTCTCTCAGCTGTGGTGGGTGTCGTGCTGGCCACCAGGTGGATGCCCTTGCTGCTGCTGGCCTCGCAGGGACTCTTCACCCTCTTGGCAGTAATGTTCTCAGCGACCCTGCTGGGCTGCTCCTCACTGGCATGGGGTGAGTGCTCCCAGATTGAAAACCTCTGTACCATCTTCGACCTACCAGGGCCCCTTCGCGAACGCTGCTGATGGAGCCAGGTAGCCTGTGCCACCTCACCTGCCGCCTTTGGGCTGCTGAATGCCTGCCTCCACACCTATTTGATGTTGCAGGCGCTGGGCTTACAGCTACACTGATCCTGGTACACCAGTAGTGGCCCATTGCAGCCGCAGGCAAGCAGACATTGAGACAGACAGGGTGGGGTCAGCGGTAGTTATGCTCCCACTCCTGTCGGCCCCCATGCTCACTGCTTCCTACACTTGACAAAAAAAAACACCCCCACCCCCACCGAAAATAAGCTCAAGTCCTTATTTTCCTTATTTTCAAACCCCAAAAAAATAAGACCAGATCTTATGGTAAAAGAAACATGGGGAAACATGGTAGAATAACTGCTAACCATCATCTGTATATATAGTCAAGATATTGCAATGGAGTTTGGATTGGAGAAATGTGCCATACTCACTATCAAACAAGGAAAAATAATGAAAATTGAAAGAACCAAGAAGCCATGAAAATAATATTAATGGTCTGGCTGAAGATGATTACTACAAATACCTGGGTATCCTTCAAGCTCACAATATCAGGGCTACTGGAGTCAAGAAAAAGATTAGAGGGTGAAGAAGATGTTAAAGTCCAAACTCAATGGAGGAAATACCTGGGTAATTCCAATAATTAAATAGACAGCTGGAATAGTGGACAGGATTCAAGCACATTATTTTTCTGGTCTTCTTATTCAATGAGTTACAATTAGGAAGGCTTCTTGGCTAGCTAGAAAGATTGACAATCAAAAGTGAGTTTACATACCCTTTCTGAGTTTTCATCTGAAACTGGTTTTTGATGAAGTTTAATTCTGTCCTTGGTGACATTTAATCCTGTGTTTATTGATGAGATAATTTTCCCTATTCAGCTTTGTTTGGAAGGAAAAAGGTTAATCTCCAATGGATAAGAAGAGCAGAAAAATAATGACAATGAATCATGTCCTTCATTCTCGCAGAGCAGGGGTGGGATTCTACCGGTTCTCACCTATTCACTAGAACCTGTTGTTAACTTTCTAAGCAGTTTGAAGAACCGGTTGTTGGAAGAAATATTTTGTTTTTTTCCACTTTACAGGGCTAATCCTGTAAGGAAAGCAGGAAGGAAATATTCTGGTGTTGTTTCTAGCGTAATCTTTATGCCCTGCTTACAGAAACTGCATCTCCATTAACTGTTATTACATTATTGGGAGTAAGCCTAGACTTCCTGTCTCCGGAGTTTTTTTTTTTCCTTTGCTGGGGAAGGGTTGTTTTAAGCTTTTTACACTGCTGTTGGGAGGAAATGCTCCCCTGTTGTAGTTCTTCCAGCCAGGATCAGTACTTTGAAGAAATAATTGAATAATGAAGCAGAGCTGCCAGAAAGAAGATTTTAATGACAAGGAACCAAGATGAGTTACAATTAGGAAGGCTTCTTGGCTAGCTAGAAAGATTGACAATCAAAAGTGAGTTTACATACCCTTTCTGAGTTTTCATCTGAAACTGGTTTTTGATGAAGTTTAATTCTGTCCTTGGTGACATTTAATCCTGTGTTTATTGATGAGATAATTTTCCCTATTCAGCTTTGTTTGGAAGGAAAAAGGTTAATCTCTGTTCCTGAAAAGAAACTGGGTTGAGAAATCTGGCTAGTTCCTGTGTCTATTTGTCTGGTAATTGGTTTAACAAGCAACAGCTACTGTTGTGATTTAATAATTTGTATTGTGTTTGAATTTTTTCCTGCCTGATGGTTTCTTTTTTTATCTGGGGAGGGGGTCTTCATTCACTGCTTTAGTGGTTCCTGGAACTGTCCTTTTGGGGTGTACTTCCAAGAGGCAGGATGCAACTTTGGCACTGATTTTTTTACTGCCTTTCTGGGGGGCATGTGACCTTTTCTTAAATCTGGATGATTTCCTTAGGTTATCTTATGAGGTGAATGAAACCAGCTGGTATCTTTAAGTGGTGTAAATGGATCTAAGGATTGCTTTTCCTAGGTGTGCTTTTTCTGGAGAGTTTAAATGACCTCTCTGCTAAAGAGTTTCATTTTATGAGCAAGAGTTGGCTGCTGATAATTATTGCATTTTAACTATTTTAATTCCTCAACGTGCTGGCACCCTGCCTGATTTGTAACTCTGGCTTGTAGGTATTTTAATAATGATATACTAAAATATGTTTGTGTGTAAAATATAATTAGTATTCAGTTCTCTTTAGATAGCCACAAAAGCAGTGGTGGGCTGCTGAATGGTCGGCGAGGTTTGGGCGAACCCTTAGCTGTGATCTCTGGCTGGGACCGCCCACCCGCCTTTGTGCTATGCTTTCCCTAAATAACTAACTTTTCCCTTGCCCAGGCTGCCTAGGTGAGTTCCATGCCGCCCTGCTGTACTCACCGGAGCTGCCTGAGTCGATTAGCTGCCTGTTTGAAGCTGCATTTCAGTCCCAAATTGTGCGCACTCACAACCAGCAAACCCCTTGTCAATGAAAATACAGCCCACCTCTGCACAAAAGTGATTGCTTATTAGATTTATTTAAATTGTGCATATAACTATAAATTCTTATAAGCAATGAATGTATAGCAGCAACCACACTGGCTTCGTAAAATTCGGGTTTATGAAAAAGACTACAGTGAACAGCCAATCAGCAGACATTCTTGCATTAAAATGTAATATACCCTTGATCACAAAAAGGTTCCTTGTGTCTGTTTTAGTGAAAGCTATATGGTTTGCCGTTTGTTTCTTCAACTAGCATATTCAATCTTATTCATAAAACTTTCTTTATTTTAGCAAGACAAAGAACTCTAGTAACTGCTTATATGAGCTTCAATATCCTAAATATTTTATACATATACATAAATTATTAGGACATATGTAGAAGAAAACAGATAAATTGAAGAAGAGTTTAGAAAAGATCCCAACATTTCAGTAAGAGAAATAAAACAAATAAAACATACACACACACACAGACACACAGACACTACATAATTAATAGTATATTTAGGCCCCAAATGAGATAAGCACATTGAAGAATGGACTAGATATATGCATAGAAGACTAACTCATCAATCACTCTTATATCAATGACTTATAGAGCCTCCATTATAATAGTGTTATGCTGTTGAATCATGGTTTCTATTCTTATACCGTACTGTGGATTTCTTAGACAGATCCAAGCATGTTCTGTGAAAGATCTACCGTCTGTCTGATGGCATTCTTTTTTAAAGTAATGCATGGCTGAGATAATAAATCAAACTATATCTATTGCAAGAGAATACCAGCCAGTTTGCTTTCAATTACTTTAACTATAGCCCTTGAAACACCCAGAATGTAAACACATTTGTAAAAGGAGACTGCTAGTCTCAGATTATTTTGTTGTAAATACTACAGCAGTTAAACTATTCCATCAGTTTACAGTATATGTAAATGTTTACACAAGTTCTGAACAATAAAATATTTTCACATCGCCAGCTTGGAAAGAATGAGGCACTGTCAAAGTTCATGAGACTTCTGAGTACTAATCCTATGTTACAAGATCAAACAAAACTATTGCAGATCATCTGGAAAGTTGCAGGGAATAGTAGGTTAAACAAATAACTGTTTAATGATAAATGTAACAAGGAAGATATACTGACCTGTCTGTATGTTCCTTCTAACAAGGTATCCAGATGTTGAAGTGGAGCCGGAGTTTTATCTTTAAACCTTGTCAGTAAACACCGTTCAATAGCTCTAAATTGTATGGCTCTTTCAGCTAATAGTTGCTCATACTTCATAGCATTCAAACGCAGCTATAATTAAGGAATCAAAGAAAGAGTTAATGGTATTCTAGAACACAAAATATATGGTGCTACATTTACTGCACAAATCCAATTATTGCTTTTATATTGTCATTATGAAAGTTTAAAATTATACACTCATCATGAAATATATTAATGGACTAAATGAATGCCAGTTATTACTGAAACTAAAAAATAATTGTTGAATCCAAGGTAATACAAAATAATGTTATGGTTTTCATAGCAGTAGCATATTACGAGGTACCATTCCAGCCTTCCTTGAATAACCATTACATTTTAAAATGTAGTATTGTACAATATCTTTACAAAGAGGATAGCTAAATGTTAAAACTCACTACATAAAAGTTCATATTTATTTTTTCAGAAGTAAGCAAGCATACTTGGGATTAATCCCACAGACATATTTAATATTTTAAAGTTTTCTATAATTAATTTGCCATTTAGCAATTCAAAAGGTACTTTATCGAGTATTTTGGTGTGCATTCCTGCTCTCAAAGATCATTTTAACAGGAAAACAAAAATAAACAGCAAATTCTTAGAAAACCACAGCATTCTTTGTAATCAATCTGAAATCATTCTAATAAAAATTAGAAGTCATTACAACAATTGAAGAAATTATAAACATTGATACAGTCATAAGTAATATATATTTATGAGCATACCTCAAAATGGTGATCAATTATATCAAAATAGTCTTGTAAAGGGATTGGGCCAGAAAAAGTACATACAAAATCTTTACAATTTTGCCTCCCAAAATGTTGCTCAAGACGAAGAGTGAGTTCTTTTGTAATTAGCCAAATGTCTTCTAATTGATCACTTTGAATTCTGTAACGCTCTTCAAAATAAAAATAAAGGCAAAAATTATTTGCATTTCATCTGTAAGTGGTATTAATTATCAAAGTAGTGTTTTATTGATGCAACAAATACTATAAGTTGAATATTGTAATTGTTATCCTTAACTGCACAATCCTTTTCTCACAACTGCTTCACATTTCACTGAAATTCTAATTTATAACAGTTTACACGAATGTATTAATAAAAAATGTGTTCAATTCATAGTTGTAATTAAAACATATTAAAACTTGAAATAATGGGCTATTAAACTCAATTGGGTGCTGAATTAGAAGCATTAAAATATATTGAGTAACGTTTATAATTCATATGCACTGATCTTGCTAGATTTGAAAGGACCACGTAAAGAGTGCAAATGTCTTGAGGGCGGGGCTGACATCATGACAGTACGATGAACAATCTCTGAGCTCCGAGATTGGTGCTGATATCCTTGCAGCTGGACGGTCCATTTGTACCTAAACTGTCACGTAGAGACGATGATCGAGGAGAACACAGACTGTAGATCCCAAGGACATTGCAAAGTCCCTGGTTGATCCAGCAAAAGCTCTCTAATTCGGCTGCAGAGGAAAGTGCCCACTGAAGTTGCTGAAAGGTTGGGAGAGCTCCAGAACAGAAAAAGCGGAAAGAAAGAAAGAAAGTGTGTTGGCTTTGCATGAGATTTTAACTTTTTTTCTTTTTGACAAGAGAGCACCCTAAGGGAGGGAAGAATTTAAGAATATAAAAGACTGAAGAGGAAATAGCGGCGAAAGTAAACCTTTTGTCAAATTAATTAGATAATTTTTTATTGCATTTTAAAAAGGATTTTTTTAACTGGACTGGACTTTTTAATTACAATTAATAAAAGACAAATACTAATATTTATTTTAAAGGGAGAAATTGGATACTTTGTTAGTTTTCTTTTTTCTCTTTGAAAGGGATTTGCATTAGAAACTTTTTCTTGTCTTAGTTACATTGTAAAGAAGGAGTGAAAGTTAAGCAAAGTAAAGTAACACTGCCACCCAAAGGCTTTAAAAAATCCTTCTGATGGAACTGAAGGATTTACCGTAAGAAAATTTTCCCAACCACAGATTGTTTACATCAAGAGAAGAAAGAGAGCTGAGCACTGAAGAAATGTTTATGCAGGTGCTCCTCTTGTAAAATAAACTAAACGGCTGGAGATTGAAATTGAAAGAAAAGAACTCACTGTGATTTTGGATATACTTTGCTGGACTTTGATAGTGTGCCTTGGACATTGTTTGGTGGCAGTGATTTACTTTTTGACATTTTTAAACTTCAGTTGTTGTTGTTTTCTATTCTTTTCACTCCACTTTGATAGTTGGTGGATATTCTGGGCCTGATTTTTCCGGCCTTTTCCTGAGCCTTTAATTTGGTTTTGGCTCTAGTATTAGAATATAAACTTTGTCCTTTTTGGGTTTTTGGTTTTTCTATTCCCTCTTTAACACTATTGGTGGATTACTTTTACATTTTTAAACATTTTTATTCTTTTTTAAATTTTTATATGTTTTTATGGAATTGGGTTTTCTTCATGGTCTTCATCATTATTTTTATTTTTATTTTTAACTCTTTTAAATCTTCTTTCCCTTTTCAATTGGATTGAGGTTAAGAAGAACTTGAAGACTGCAGCATTTTTTCTCTTTTCCATTCTTGATTTTTTTAATCTATTGATTGGATCTGCATGTAATTGGAATTTCCTCCTCTCCACTCAGTGGTCAGCTGTCAATACACACTATGTTGCATCAGGAGAAAGAGAGAGAGAAGGAGAAAGAAAAGGAGGTCACATTATAAATGATAATGCAAGCAATACAAAGAATAGAACAGAACAGAGAAGACAGATGAGAAAATAGAGAATATACAACAAATGATGATGAAAAATGAAGAAAGATTTCAAAAGATAGAAGAAAAAGGTGACCAGAGAGATTAAAAAAAATGGAGAAATTGACAGCAGACTGTCAGTTGTGGAAAAGGACAAAGGAACTGGAATGTTAGCCTGGGAGATGGACAGGGCAGATATTTATCTTAGATTTCAAAATATTGAGGAAGAGAAGGGAGAAAATCTTGCAGAAATAATGATAGAAATGCTGGCAGGAGCCTTGGAGATATCCAAAGAAAAATGATGGATAGAATAGATGAAGTGTACCAAGTCTTTACAAGATATGCAATGAGAAATAAACTACCTAGAGAAGTCCATGTAAGATTTACTAAGAAAGCAATCAAAACACAAATATTACAAAGTGCAAGAGATGACCCATTGAAATACAAAGGAAAGGAGATTATGGTCCTAAAACAAGTATCAAGAAAAGTGAGAGAAATGAGAAGAATACCAATTATTGACAAAAAAGAATAAAGAAGGGACTGAACAAGGGGTGGGATTCTACCAGTTCTGACCGGTTCTATAGAACCCCTTGTTAACTTTTGAAGCAGTTAGGAGGACCGGTAGTTAGAAGCAATCTCCTTTTGTTTTTTTCCACTCGTATTACATTCTTGCCAATACGCCTAGACTTCCTGTCTCCGGAGCTTCTGGGGCTTGACTTTCTTAAAGGGAAGGGTTGTTTTAAGATATTTACACTGCTGTTGGGAGGAAATACTTCCCTGGACAATCAGCAGTTTGAAGAAATAATTGAATAATGAAGCAGAGCTGTCAGAAAGAAGCTTTTAATGACATGGAACCAAGATGAGTGACATTCAGCAAGGCTTCTTGGCTAGCTGGAAAGATTGATATTCAAACGTGAGTTTACATACCCTTTCTGAGTTTTGGTCTAAAACTGGTTTTTGGTGAAGGTTAATTCTGTACTTGGTGAGCTTTAATCCTGTATTTATTGATGGGACAATTTTCCCTATTCAACTTCCACAAGCAACAGCTACTGTTGTGATTTAATTATTTGTATTGTGTTTGAATTTTTTCCAGCCTCATGGTTTCTTTTTCTTTCTGGGGAGGGGGTCTTCGTTCACTGCTTTAGTGGTATCTGGCACTGTCATTTTGGGGTATGCTTCCAAAAGGCAGGATACAAGCTTGGCACTGATTATTTACTGCCTTTCCAGGGGGCATGTTACCTTTTCTTAAATCTAGATGATTTCCTTAGGATATCTTATGAGGTGAATGAAACCAGCTGGTATCTTTAAGTGGTGCAAATGGATCTAAGGATTGCTTTTCCTAGGTGTGCTTTTTCTGGAGAGCTTAAATGACCTCTTTGCTAAAGAGTTTCACTTTATGAGCAAGAGTTGGCTGCTGATAATTATCATTGCATTTTAACTATTTTAATTTCTCAAGGTGCTGGCACCCTGCCTGATTTGTAACTCTGGCTTGCAGGTATTTTTAATCTAATCATTGGTATTTAGGGTATTTTTGCAAGCAAAGAAGCTTTTTGTATTTTTGTACAGGTAATCCTTGACATACAACAGTTCATTTAGTGACCATTCAAAGTTACAATGGCACTGAAAAAAGTGACTTATGACCATTTTTCACACTTATGACTGTCATGAGAGGCCAAGCGAGTAGAAGCACCCGACATGAGTGATGTCAAGTTGGCCATGCCCACCCAGTCACGTGACCACCAAGCCACACCTACCAACTAAGTCACGCCCACAGAACCAGTTGTTAAAAAAAATGAATCCCATCCCTGGAATGAACAACAGATGGTTGATTTCAGAGGGTCTCACATTTACTTGGCAAGAGCAACAACATAGATTGGATTCAATAGAGAAAGCAGAACTATTTTATGGAGAATACTTTCAGGGAAAAGAAGAAGAGAGGATACGAGAGGAAGAAATAGTTAAATTTCGAGAGGGGATGGTTGAAACAAGAGATAATGAAACACGGGATGAAAAGACATCTGAAGAGGGAGCAGTAGGTGGAAGGGTGGCATTCAAAGAAGTAAGAGAGCAAAGAACGAGAGCAATAAACCCTACATATAAAGTATGAACAGTGGAAGAGAAGAAACTGATTACAATAAGTATAAATGGATTGAATTTGGCCATCAAAAGGAGAAAAAAATTCACAAATTAGAACAATTAAAATTAGATATAATCTGCTTGCAAGAAGTTCACATAAAAAAAACAACATGTTTAAGTACTGAAACACCCTAAAATTGGGAATTTATTTACATCATTGGCACAAAAAAAGAAGAGTGGTCTTATATATAAAAAAATACAATTAAAGCTGAACTAATTTTTACAGATTAAGAAGGAAGAATATTAATGGTGGAAATAATTGACAATAATGTAAAGATGCTCTTAGTAGCAATTTATGCTCCCAATGAAAAGCAAGAAGAATTCTACAAGAAACTACATAAGAAAATAATAGAACTGGAATACAACAATATATGCATCTTGGGAAATTTTAATGCGATAGTGGACACAAAGTTGGACTATAAAACATAGGAAGTTAATAAACAAAATAGAAAGATACGTCCGAAATCCTTCTTCAAGATGGTAAAGGAATTAAGCATTCAAGATGTTTGGAGACAAATGAATGCTAAGAATAGGCAATATACATTCTACTCCACTAGACATTTTTCATGGTCAAGAATAGATATGATTTGGATGTCAACAGAACTAATCTCTAATATACAAGAAGTAAATACAGAAGCAAGTTCTTGCGGATCATAATCCAATATGGGTCAAATGCCAGGGACAAAGGAAAAGATCAAGATGGACTTTGAACAATGCAATATTGAAAGAAAAAGAATATACACAAAAGATGGAAAAAGAACTGGCTTTTTTCTTTAAAGGAAACAACAGGGAGGAAACTTCACTACAAAACTTATGGGTACCATGAAGGCCTATGTCAGAGGTTTCATTATAGACTACACAAGAAGAAGAAATACTAAAAAAGACAAATGCAACAAATGTTAGATGAAAACTATAGAAAACTCAAGAAAGAACTACAAAAATATCCACAAAAAAGGAATATTAAAAGTCAAATGGAAATAATTAAACATAAAATGGGGTTGATGGAAAAAGAAGAATTAGCTCAAAAAATTAGGA